GTGCGGGCTATGCCCCTGCCCCTGCAGGACGCCTCTGGCCGAGGCGTCCGGCCCGGGCAGCAGGGACCCGCAGCTGCAGCGGCCCCGCAATCGTGGGCTCCGCTTTAGGCATACCCCTAGCTCCCGGGACTGCCAGCTTCGAACGTGCCCAGCTCCCATTGCTGGCTTCACCCCTACTTCCTGCTGTTACTGGCCAGGGCGGCAAAGGCACCTGATTCTCTGATCATGGCCCTGGGGCCGCAGGCCCCCCAGCTCTTAGCTCCTCCCTGGGTTTCCGATTACTGGCAGTGGCAGGGGGTTTCTTCCTGCTTTCCCTTTCGCCTCCCTGCATTGTGCCTACACATGCAAATTAACCACCATCTTTGTTGTCAGTTAACTGCCATCTGAGTTGGCAGTTAATTTGCATATCCCCCTGATTAGCCAATGAAAAAGGTAGCGTTGTACGCCAATTACCATTTTTCTCTTTTATTAGTGTAGATTGTAGGCCTTGTGCACTAATTCATGCATGGGTGGGGACTGATTGGGGTCGATCGGTCTGGGTTGGCTGGCGGGAGGGGCCATGATCGGTCTGGATTGGCTGGCGGGAGGGGCCATGGGTGGTTGGTAGGCCGGCCCTGCCCCTTGGTTGAACTCTGGTTGAGGGGACAATTTGCATATTAACCTTTTATTATACAGGATTAAATGTGTTCAGTTCATCTTCTGGTTTTTCTCACTTGTCATACTTGTGCTACTGTAGTTTTCAATCAGTTGTTATCGCCCACACCCCTCCTTCCATTAATAGTTCAGTGTGAAACGGAGGATTTGGGTATTTTTCTAGCCAAGATAAAGTCAAGGTGATGTCCTTGAGTTGACATCTCTAATTTAGCTCATCTGTAATGAATATGGGTTCTTTTATCATCACAGGAGGCGTAAAGACAGACATGAAGCCAGTGGGTTTTCAAGGCGACCAGATCCAGATTCTGATGAAGATGAAGATTATGAGCGAGAAAGGAGAAAAAGAAGTAAGGCATGAACATAAATATTATGTTTCCAGTATGGTGCAATTCCACTATTTGCTTTTCATATTCAATTTGTTATAGTTCAGTTGACATTGACTTAGGTCATTTTGTCTCTGGGATTCCAGCAATCCACATTTGTATACAGTCTTAATTTATATTGCGTTTTAACATAAATTCTCTTTTTAGCTTCCCATCCACTTTCTAATAGTTTTTAAGTAGATATGTTGAGCATACCTTGAAATATATATACACATACTTTTCCTTACCTGTAGCATAGTTTGGTTTTTATTAACGTTTTTAGAGTCCAGCATATAGGTTGAATACTTATTGGTCTCATCCTTTCAGCTTATAGATTGGCTGTCCTTTTTGTAAGGAGGTATGCCTTTTCTGTGAAGGACATTTAATTTCTTGAACATTAGCAGAAGCTAATATTGAGTAGTAGGGAAGTGATGGCATTATGTCCATTATGTGTACTGCTGATGTTTATATTTTAACCTGATTAATAGCAAATGTTTAGTAATCATCCTGAATTTTTCATACTAAACTCATTAGAGCTAATCTCAGAATCAATCACTAATCACTTGGCAAGATTAAAAAATGATAAGAAGTATTTCAAAAGAAATATAAGATTTTATTCCTATTTTTCCTTAAGTATTTTGTCTAATCCAGGCCTGTTAATCATGATGCAAGTACATTGGCCTTGGAGGAATTTCTTTTGTGAAACATTTCATGCTGTTGCAGCACTGGTTTTGTAATCAGTTTTGTTTGTTTGTTTGCATCTTATTTTTTGGACTATTTAATTGGTGATTAAGTTATAATACATATGTTAAGGTTTATACCTAATGAAAAATTCCTTATATTCTCCATCCTTGTCAGATAGCAAATGGAGTTATTTTGGTTTGTTTGTGTCCACCATTCTCTGTCCAGGAAACGAACAGGAATGGTGACAACACAAAACAGATTCTATAGAAACCAGAAGTACCTACATTTTCAAATAGTTGTTTAGTTCCAGGAGTGTGTTGTATTGTCGGAGAAAGCTTGGAATCACTGGGAGCTACCTACTGCTGCCCACCAATTCTCCTCTGATCATTTTCTCCTATGAAAGAAAAATGGACACAGTTATACCTAATTCAAAGGTTATTAAGTCTAAATGAGATAATGTATATGAAAAAATTGGGTGACTAGCCGTGGCCAGCATGGTTCAGTCCTATCAGCCTGAGAACCAGAGGATCGCAGGTTCTATTCCCAGTCAAGGACACATATCCCTGGCTCCAGTCAGAGCGTGTGCTGGAAGTAACCAATTGATGTGTGTGTGTGTGTGTGTGTGTGTGTGTGTGTTTCTTTCTCCCCCTTGTCTCCTTCCACTCTCTCTAAAAAATCAATAGAAGAAATATCCTCAGATGAGGATTCACAAACAAAGAATCTGGTGACTGACATCCTCTCAGTAAGTAGTTGTATTACTGTTGGTTTTGTGTGTTGTTGTTTTTTTAATCCTCACCCAAGGAGAGTCTCCCATTGATTTTTAGAGAGAGTGGAAGAGAGAGGGAAAGGCAGAGAGAAATATCGATGTGAGAGAAACACATGAATTGGTTGCCTCCTGCATGTGCCCCAACCAGGGCCCGGGCTGAGGAGGAGCCTGCAACCAAGGTACATGCTTGGGCCCTTGACTGGAACCAAACTAGGAACCCTTTGGTCCGCAGGCCAATGCTCTATCCACTGAGCCAAATCATCCAGGACTTACTTTTGATTTTTTAAAAATTATGTTCAGTGTTTGGGGGCAATAGTTCTGTTTCTACAGAAGCTTCCTACCCTCCCTGCCTTGTGTGATATGACAAATTGTGGGGAAGCACAAGACATGATTGGAAAGTCTGTAAGGAAGAATCTCCAAAAGGTTGGGAGCCTCTAGGGGGACCTTGCTGAAGGTGGCAGACTCTACCTTGACTTTTCCAAATAAGTCTGAGCCCCCAGGTGTTTTACTGGAGCCTTTATGTTTAGTCTTTAGCCATCCTTGCTTAAAGGACACTGCAGATGCAAATAGGTTGAAGCTCAATCACTGAGCCACACTGGCCAGACTATGTTACTATTTTTTAAGTAACTGCTAATTCTCTGGGTTATGGTCTTTTATCTTAAAATTCATTTATTAACTACATTCTAGGGCTCTTGAATGCCTGCTATGAAAAAAATAATTGTGAAAAAAAAAGAAAAAAATAATTGTGTTTGGCTTTTCAGTTTTCTACATTTTTAATCCTCGATTCAGATATTAAGTTCTTTAGATATTAGCTGGAGGGATGAAGTAGCAGTTCTGTCTCCCTCCTCCCTCCC